GCTGCTACTGTGCCAGAACATTGCAACAGACCACGAAGGTTAGATTTAAGATCGTTTATCATAATTATTGTACTGAGGTAGGATGTTATTTATAAAATAAAATAAATTTGTTTTGTCGCAATTTATATGATTATGCCTGCTTTAATTTTTACCGGTAAATCCTGCTGACATCAAATAAGTTATGATAAAGTAAATAAGGAAAGTAGTAGCATGTCGAGTTGTTGTCATTGTTTTTTTGTATCGTTATCATGAAATATGTTAATGCGTATGGGTGTGTCATAGTTTGAATGCAAATGTTATACGTTACAGGTTAATGTATTTTCCTTTGTTGACATGTTTTCACAGGCCGTGATAAAACTTGAATAATATTAATCAAGGTAGCGTAAATGCATACTCACTCGCCTTCTCGCGCTGGGAATTGACTCCATTCAAGTCCACTCTATTCGCTACATCCGACTATTCGCTATATCAGACTATTTGCTACATCAGACTAATTACTGCGTCCAACTGGTCGATATATCTGACTTTTCGCCACATCGGACTGTTCGCTACATCGGACTATCAGCTGTGTCTTGCAATATGCTGTATCCGACTTTTCACTTCATCCAACAGGTCACTGCATCCGACTATAGCCACATCCGACTAGTCGCTACATTCGAATTCGTTATATCCGGACTGTTGGAGGCCAAGTTTGAAAATACAAATAACTGTGAGTGAGTGAGTTGTGTTTAACGCCGCTTTAACATTATTCCAGTTATATCACTGCATGCCAGCATAATGTAGTAGGAAAGCCCGAAGTGATGCAGGTCTCAGACGTTTACCACTTCGGTGAAACCCATGAGCACGGGTATGGTGCTGACACACCTAGAAACATAATAGGGGCGAACCGGGATTCGAACCCACAATCATAGGTTTCTGGCGTGTCCAAGGGACGCAACTCTTCACAACGAATCGCGGCGCCTTAGACGACTTGGCCACCCGTGCACCCTACAAATAACTGTGTCCCAGCTCATATAAAAGATGCCCACTTGTGTTAAATGCCTGTCTGGCGATTTGCCGCTTGGAGCAAACATTATCTCTGTGACCATTCAAACTAAACGTTGCAGATCGGTGTAGCTACAGCGAGCCTCAATGTTTTATTGCCATGTGTATCTGGAGGAAAACATCTCGACGTTTATTTGCTCTTCAAAAAAACAAGAAGTGGGGATAATACCTGGCACAACTTAGTGTCAGTTTAATGATCGCCTCGATGTTGCTTGTGTTGTTAATGTCGAAGAAGAAAATTAATAAACCAACAACTACACGCAGGAAAGCCCAGGTAGAGGCTGAAGATGACGTTTAGAGCACCCACTTCCAACCATCGAGTGAGTGAGTACGTGTCGAAGGAAGACCAAATCGGTCAAGGGGACGTAACTCTACAGGAGAAACATATTTGTGTCAGGACTTTAGCTCTACGACTGTCATATATCAGAGACCATATAATAGATTAATCTAGTATATGGTCTCTGCATATATATGTTAGAGTATGAATAATATGTTTGTCATGCCTTGTGGAGAATGGTTAACATGTTCTTGTCTATTCTCGCCTTGCTTTTATAGTTCGTTATCATTTGTGAAATACACTGTTCCTACCGTTCAGACTTGTTGATAATGGTAAAAATATCCTTTAAAAAAACACTCTGGTGACATTATCTATATGTCCCCACAATCTCTCCACAAAGCCTACAAATCCTGTTATGCTTTCTTATGAAGACATTCTCCTGAACCGCCCGTGGTGTAGAAGGCGTCTGCTTGAGAGCGAAAGATCGTTTGTTCCACAGCTCCGTCATGCCTAAAGACATTAAGATGTTTTTGCCATTAGGGCATAAAACAAGGACTGGTTGGCTCCAAGTCAGAATAATGTGTGTGAGTGGGGTATTCATGTAAAAAGCTATTTTATCTCATTGGGCTAGCACTATAAAACCGGCATTAGTCCGGACTTCACACACATATACACACGTGCATGCGCGTCGCGCCATAAATGCAATAATTTTGAACGTTAAACCCAATTTAAGCTCGACGTAAAAGTGATGGCGGAACAAGTACTGCACTCTCTACATATTGGCCACACGATCATCTCTTAGTTGGATCGCATGAGTGAGTGAGTGAGTATGGTTTTACGCCGCTTTTAGCAATATTCCATCAATATCAGGCGGGGACACCAGAAATGAGCTTAAAACATTGCTCCCATGTGGGGAATCGAGCCCGGATCTTCGGTGTGGCGGGCGAACGCTTTAGCCACAAGGCTACAGCACCGCCCCGGTTTGAAGGACAAACATGGTGTACCAAGGAAGTGTACACGTGTACTGTGCCCATCACAGGGTCTCCTTCTTGGTACTGACGTCTTCCTCATATCGGTTATCTGACCGCACTCTGTATTCTCCTCACACGCAAGGTCAATCTGGATGACCATCCGTTAATATGATGAGACACTGTTCATTTTCCTCCGACTATAACAGTATGAAATCTCATTACTTTGACTGCTGGTCAATATAGCTGCCAATCACCCCATAGTGCCAAGATAAAATGAAAGACTCATCAGGCTTGATATAAAGTGCTTGAATGATCTTGAACCGATGAAAAATGTTCAGATGAATTCCTTGCCTTGCTTGCTTCATTGATTTGTCTATGTTGAGATTAATAGCCTCAGAAAATTCAGAATATATTTAATGGAAATCGACAGAGGTACTGAATCTCGTATACGAATGTTGAGAGTAAATCCTATAGTGTGCTGCATAGAAACATTTATGTTACAAGCAGTCTTTCTGTTCCTAAAACAATGTGAGTTTTCCTAAGTGTTTTCATGTCGCTATGTGAGTGAAATAATCTTGAACGCCACGTTTCGCCTCCTTTTAGTGAGTGAGTGAGTATGGTTTTACGCCGCTTTTAGCAATATTCCAGCAATATCACGGCGGGGGACACCACAAATGGGCTTCACACATTGTACCCATGTCGGGAATCGAACCCGGGTCTTGGCTACCCGACCGCCCCCCGCCTCCTTTTACCTCACCTCAACTGGTACGACACTCGACAATAATAAACACACATGTTACCCAAAGTGCTTAGTACGCCACCTCGACAATAACGAAAGCACATGTAACTCAAAGGGCTTGGTATTACACCTCGACTATAAATAGCACACATTTTACCCAAAGAGCTTGGTACTCCTCGACTATAACGAAGGCACATGTTACCCAAAGAGCTTGGTACTCCTCGACTATAACGAAGGCACATGTTAACCCAAAGAGCTTGGTACTCCTCGACTATAACGAAGGCACATGTTAACCCAAAGAGCTTGGTACTCCTCGACTATAACGAAGGCACATGTTAACCCAAAGAGCTTGGTACTCCTCGACTATAACGAAGGCACATGTTAACCCAAAGAGCTTGGTACTCCTCGACTATAACGAAGGCACATGTTAACCCAAAGACCTTGGTACTCCTCGACTATAACGAAGGCACATGTTAACCCAAAGAGCTTGGTACTCCTCGACTATAACGAAGGCACATGTTAACCCAAAGAGCTTGGTACTCCTCGACTATAACGAAGGCACATGTTACCCAAAGAGCTTGGTACTCCTCGACTATAACGAAGGCACATATTAACCCAAAGAGCTTGGTACTCCTCGACTATAACGAAGGCACATGTTACCCAAAGAGCTTGGTACTCCTCGACTATAACGAAGGCACATGTTAACCCAAAGAGCTTGGTACGACCCCCTCGACTAAACATACCACACATGTTATCCAAGGTGCTTTGTACGACAACTCGACAATTACGAACAGACATGCAACCTAAAGTGCTTGGAACGACACCTCGACAATAACGAACACACATGTAAACCATATGTTAATTCAGCAATTTAAAAACATAAATATTAATTTCAAGTGATTCCGTGGCATTTGATTGGCTTAAAGGTAATTGTTTTTGTGTTTAAGTTGTCATCCTCCCAAATTCTTGTATTTAATTGATTCAAGTGGGTCTTTTGTCAGTTTTCTGTACAATGTTTTAGTTTTGTAGTAATATGGTGCTGCTATTATTCCGTCTAAAACGGCGTCGAAATCGAATTGCATCCCTTTGTTTTTCTCGGATCCGATAATGGTTCGAATACACAGCTTAACCTTCGTCTGTCTTACCAGCTGTTGTAAAGGCCTGTGATATATTCATGTGGGGCTGCACCTAACTTACGGGGGCGGTCGGGTAGCCTAGTGGTTAAAGCGTTAGCTCGTCACGCCTAAGACCCGGGTTCGATTCCCGACATGGTAACAATGTGTGAAGCCCATTTCTGGAGTCCCCCGCCGTGATATTGCTGGAATATTGCTAAAAGAGGCGTAAAATCAAACTCAATCAACCACCTTTCGCAACACATGTAACATCGTGAGTCTTAAGTAGATTTCGTCACGATCTTGAGATCCTTCATGGATATACCGTGCCACACTACTTGGATGAGATGGGTACGTGCTTTGCGACCGCTGCTTTGCCTGACTCTGTAACATGCCGTCGTGATCATGAGGTGGTAGATATATCTCTGACAGGATTCGCTTACTTTCTCCCCACAAAAACTTTGCATTCAACTGTGAAGTAATTTGCAAGAAAGTTTATTACCAAATATATCGATACAAAGACGAATACAAACATATCATCAAACAACTTCACCTCGAACCCCACCCAACACAAAACAAGGAAGGCACAGAGAGAGAGAGACAGAGAGACAGACACAGAGAGAGACAGACGCAGAGAGAGACAGAGACAGACAGAGACACAGAGAGACACACACAGAGAGACAGAGCGACAGACACACAGAGAGACAGACAGAGAGATAGGCACAGAGAGAGACACACAGAGAGACACAGAGGAGACAGACACAGAGAGCGACTCAGAGAGGAGACAGACACAGAGAGAGACTCAGAGATAGACAGACACAGAGAGAGACAGAGAGAGACGGGCAGAGAGAGACAGACAGACAGAGAGAGAGAATCCCCCCCCCCTTCCCAACTAACTTGGGCTAAAGAATACCCAGCATCCTCAACAAGGAGCTTTAAGGTGAAGGTCACCGCATTTGATCACAATCATCCTAACTAGGCATTTGTTTTGAATGTATTCGCATGAAAGTCCATGTCGTCTCTCGTACATCAGTTGAGCAAGTGTTGATCGAACTTCCAATATCTGAAGTACATGGAAAGACAACTGTATAGTATATAATACTGAATGCACATTTAGCCTGTATTGACATATGAAACAACACAAAACCGTTCTGACATCATTCAAGTGTTGTGGTATAAGCGATTAACAAAGATTAGAAAGAAATGAACTGCCGGACAAAAGAAGGTCTACAATTCTGAACTTGACCAACAAATAAGAAAATTTATAACATAACTAGTATCCGCCGTGGAAGGTTGTGTTCTAGGGGATACTTCTTGACTCTTCAGACTTCAGACTTTTCTACACAAGTCTGTCTGTGGGTCCACAACGGTTTTATTGAGATACAGTTACAAAGTGTAGCTCTGAATCTCAGCCCGAGTGCCAAGTTCTGCTGGTTCACAATCACATCTACAGTAAATTACGTTTATAACAAACTGACGGATATTGCGAACTTAATTTTTGGTCCCTGCCATTTGCTGCACAGATGTTCTATATACGCTTATAACGAACTACGGTTATGCTGAACTAAAATTAGTGGTCCATTTGAGTTCGTTATAACCGTAGTTTACTGTTAATATCTTATTAACATATTTGGCATTCCTGACCATGGTCCTAATGTCCTAATAAGGTTATACCTCCAGACCAGTAATGCCTCGTCTGCAATCCCCATGTTATCAATGCAGTGACCATCAGGATATCTCCCTTGTAGTCATGTAATTCCAAGAATATCCCTGAATTCTAAGAATATACCTGACTCCCCTCACTCCCTTTTTGGACACCCTTCCGTGGCTTACATGTATGTTTTAGCCAGGTCAAAGGTGCAATGTTCAGACAATATAGGTATTGGGGAACATCAGTAAGGGGCTTCACTCACGGTATCCATGTGGGGAAGCGAACCCGGGTATTCGACGTGAGGAGTGACCGCCGTAGCCACTGGGCTACCCCACCGCCCCAAGGCAATAATATAAACATTATATGAAATTAGCTTTGATGTATTGTAGCATGCGTGTCTTTCAGTCGTTAGAGGAAGATCTTACCGTTTTTGTCATGTCCCGATCAAACTCTGTATGTCCCAGTCCCCCGGCCTTGGTGTAGAGGCTGTAAGATTTACAGTATCAAATCAAGCACGCCTTTATTGAATATCAAGCGACAAAAACATTTCTATTACCATAAGAAATGTCACCTGAAAACAGCGTCCATTGTACGATTGCGACTATATCGTAAGCATGTGTTTATGAATTACTACCAAATACTGATGATATACGGTTTTCGCGATATACGGTAAGCGTACCCTGTCCCGCCGTTAGCACCCGTCACACACACATGCAAGAGAAAGATAATTATTCACTAGAATAACACGGGAACATATGGTAAAAGTCAAAATTGGGAATTGTATTGGACATCGTTTTTGTCGAGGATGCATCAAATTTGGAAATGTCCTCCACATGTCCACTGTACAACTTTTAAAGACGAGAAATGTTGTAAACAACTTTTGAGCAAGAGCAGTGCGTCGCTCAGAAAAACATAATCTCTCTGTGGTAGTACACATCTATTCACACATATATATTATATTTGGACAAGCATGTGAAATCTTTAGTCTATGTCACTTGATCAAAACAGCAATTGCCGAGGTGTTGCCTGTTGCCTTTAAAGTCTACATGTCTGCTGTATGTCGGCGGCCTGCAAGTAGTTGAATCTGGGCCAGACATTCACGTGATTGGTACTATGAGCAACGCCGTCGGGGTACGGTGATGCGAGGGGGCACGGGGGGGCCCAGTCATCTAAGGCGCCACGATTCGCTGTGCAGAGTTGCGTCCCTTGGGCACGCCTGAAACCTATGATTGTTGGCTCGAATCCCGGTTCGCGCCGATCATGTTTCTAGGTTTGTCAGCACCATACCCGTGTTCGTGGGTTTCACCGAAGTGGTAAACGTCTGGGACCTGCATCACTTCGGGCTTTCCTCCAACATTAAGCTGACACGCAGTGATATAACTGGAATACTGTTAAAAAGCGGCGATAAACCCAACTCACTCACTCACTCATTCACTCACTCACTATGATACGCAATTAGCATAGTCATAGAGCCTGACCATTCGATCCATTTTAGTCGACTCCTGCGAGAAGCATCCGTTGCTCCGTCTTACCAGGAATCTCTTCTATTGAGGCTGATCTTTTTCAGGCAGGCGTCGTAAAGAAATTATACACCCTATGTACTGTTAAACATATTTCTCTTGCTCTTCTTAGCCGCAGAATCATGCGTATGTTGTATTGATCCCCATCTGTTGACCTTTAGATGGGTGGCACATGTCTGCGACTTTAACAAATAATGTTAACTGTAATGACAAAACGTACTTTGCTGTTTAGCCGTCGGTGTCGCTCGGTCAACCGCAGCAGCCGTCACTACCCGCGTCACGACAGACCCTGGTAAACATGATATTTGTTATAATTATATTGCAATGAAATAATTCGATAGATCTTTCTATTGTAAAATATGTATTGTACGGAAACACTTGAACATCAAAAATACCGTCAATTGTAGTTCTTGTAATACAATATTTCGAATGATAACCTTCAAATTTGATTTCATTTGCAGAGCTTTAAACGTCACATGATGTTACTAATGACATGGGTGAGTGAGTGAGTTGGGTTTAACGCCGCTTTTAAAAGTATTCCAGTTATATCACGGCGTGTCAGCTTAATGTGGGAGGAAAAGCCTGATGTGATGCAGGTCTTAGGCGTTTACCACTTCGGTGAAACCCACGAGCACGGGTATGGTGCTAACAAACCTAGAAACATATTTGGGGCGAACCAGGATTCGAACCCACAACCATAGGTTCCTGGCGTGCCCAAGGGACGCAACTCTGCACAGCGAATCGTGGCGCCTTAGATGACTGGGCCACCCGTGCCCCTCTAATGACATAACACTAAGTTGTTGTACAGTGATGGGTCACTTGGTTGTAGGTGTTCATCTAATAACCCTGCCCTCTATATGATTCGTCAGCTATGTATGACTCCATTGCGATCATGTTCTTTATTGATAGTGCAGTTGTCATACACATATGCTCTTATCATCGTGGGTTCGAATCCCTGTTCGCCCCAATTTTGTTTCGTGGGTTTCACCAAAGTGGTAAACGTCTGACACATGGAATACTTCGGACTTTCCTCCCCCATTAAGCTGACTCAACGTGACATAACTAGAATACTGTTCAAAGCGGCGTGAAATGAAACTCACTCACTCACTCACTCAAGTACCAGATGTTTATAGAGAATAAAGAAATGAAAATAAAGCAACTCGTGGTTTAACCAATTTTTTTTTATGGAGACAGAACATATTTTATCATGCTTGCATAGTTTCTAACTCGGAAAAAAATATTTTAGAACCCATCACACATTGCTTTTCAGGTCATCCAGTTAATAATTTATTTATTTTTTAAACGAGAGGGAAAATATATTTTTCAAGTATCTTCTATAACAAATTAAAAATAAATTACAGACTCCCCCTCCGCGCCGTGCGTTGAGTTTTAAAACATATATATACTTGAGTTCAAAAGCCGTCATTTAATTGATGTAATAGCGTTAAAACACCTTCATCATTGACACTCATATATCAAAACGATGGCTTCAGATATTTGAAAAATAAATTAATAAAACGGCATCCTCTCAACAAATTAAACATCCTTCAACTAATCATCACTGTAACATCGCATACATCACGCTCTTAATCCCAAGCACACATTAGTTGGGTATCCCTTGGTGCTATTATAGAATATCCACATACATATCCGGAACAGTCATTGTGACTTCCCTCATCACTTCTCTCGGAATAGCAGAATCTATATCATATATGATCCAACCAACACATCGTGTGGAGGAATAGGATTTGGCTTTACATGTTATGTCTAGCTGGGGTGAGTGAGTGAGTCTGGTACTACACTGATTCACTTTCATCACGAAGTTCTTAGACCTTTCCCACGTTTGTAAAACTCACATGAACAGGTATGGTGCTGCAAAATCATGAAACATTATCAGAGAGACTCTGGGAATCGAAATCAGAGCCATTCTAGGCCTTTGGCACCAATTCCACACAGATGACGAACCAAAAACATACTAGGCTATGGAAATGTACATACCATGTTGAGTTTTAGACGTCGATGCTTCGACGTGATCAGTGTGGGTAGTTGTTGCACTTGCGGTGACAGTCGTCAATGGCGTCGATGGGTGCGATGTTAGTTCTGTAAATTACATATTTCATGAATCCTAAATGTTAATGATTTTCAAATATCATTATCAATATTAGTTTGGAACTATTTTCAAAATAGTTTAACCTATGCTGTACGACATTTGCTTATTTGTCCACCACGAGCATTGAGATTGTACGTGGTCGTCATCCTTACGATATATGTATATATGATTAAGGGTTTTCTGTACAATAACAAGTTTGATTTAAATTTAAATAGGTTTTGTACCATGTTACAAGGAGAGCATGGTCTCCAGAAGTCGGACAAGAGTCGCACGTTTGATGCGCTGAACAAAATAGAAAGAATTGTCGCAAGTTGCAATGTCAACAATCTAGAAACGCCCGCCGTATATGACAAGATAACGTTATAAGTTCTCAGATAGGCTAAAGCTGGTGACTGGGGGTTCAACTGGTAATTCGATACAGGAATATTACAATTCACACACAATTTGATTTGGTTAGAACAATACAATTCCAAACACAAACCCACTTGACATTTCGCCTCGCATCAACGTTGTCGTTTCTCTGTCCAGTGTTGAAGGTAACTTTGTTGTCTCTGACGTCGTTTTTGGTGGAGATGTTCTTTCTGAAACTGCAATAAATCTTATTTTTGAACTAAATAATTTAATAATATCTTTTTAATAATATTTATTCATATTTATATATTATACACCAATTGTCTAGTTATATCGTTTGCATCGCTGTACTTCATGGTCCTGATAGAGACCTGTTAGCAATAACGTCCAATATTGCAACTCTGTTTGTCAAGCACTACGGGTAACTCGACATTATTATGTCTTCAGGAAGTCGAGGTTCAATATAACTGACCTTGCTGCGGATTATTTAATATCCTGTAAAACATCTTGAACCCATACTGGTCAAATGTTTTAACAGATAACGCTACTATTCGTCATTTTGGATTTCAACATTCGTATTGACCTACACAATAAATGACATGCTCTCTTGTTACTGAACTCCATTGCGAAGAGCAAACACTATTACTACTACACTGACAGGTACACTAAAATGCTTTTAATAACGTCTTTATGGTTTGAATACAGATTCATATAAAATCAATAACCTACCAGACTCCTCCCTTGGGATCAGTGTTAAAAGTTCTTCTTCTACAAGATATTTATTGAAGCTGTCCCTGACGTCGGTTGTCTGTGCCAACGGGAGCACTACTGGATCTGAAATAGGGTTTAACACCTTTTGAACAGCATTCCCGTTATATCACGGCGTGTCAGCTTGATGGGGGAGGAAAGTCCGAAGTGATGCAGGTCTTAGACAGGTCATTGACAAATCCCACACTGGCAACAAGAGACAGAGAGACACGCCCCACACGAGGGGTGGTGTAACAACTGAGCTAACAATGTGAATATCGGGTGTGACCTCCATTTGCGTTGATACAGGGCATTGAAAACAGCCTTAAATGTCAACCAAACATTGGCCCTACTGAGAAAGCGTTACCGGCTGGTTCTGATCCTGTCGTAGGCGTCCATCTACTCGTCCCAGATATGTTCCCTGGGGACTGGTCTGGAAAATCAGCCGGTCATAGCAGCACAGTAATATCATGCTACCCCAGGAAGTCTGTTACAATATGTGAGTGGGCATTATCCTGTTGTAACGTGACCTTACGTCACAGCATTTGCACAAATTGTAGAACAAAGTCGTTCCGCTAGCGTACGCACTGAAATTGCTATTAACATTGATGTGTTGTGTTCTCACATGAATTGTGATGCCACCCCATACAGTTACACTTTAACCCCCAAGACGTTCTCCTGGAAGCCTACATACCCTTGCACGCCAGATGAAAGCTGAACACATCTGTGAGCACTATACTGTCCTAGTTTTGTCTGCTGAAGCTCAGATGATGGCGACACCAAACATCAGGCGTCCCTGACAGTGACGTTGAAGCAAAATTTGACGTATCTCTGGACGTCGGGGCCGGGTGTTGTAATCTCTGAACCGGTTGCGTAGGGTTCTGTCACTAATTGCACTCAACCCAGCAATTGTACGAGCTGTTAATGTGGCGGTTTGATGTAGATTCGGCAGATGCACCAACCGAATATGGCTGTTTTGTTGACGTCACATCGCACGTGGACGACCGGCCCGTTTCGGGTCATGAGTGATGCCTTGCTGTAGATAACGTCTCCAAAGATATGACATTAGGTTTCAATGAACATTAGAATGTCTGGAAACTTCATTTTGTCACAATTCCCGTTTTTAGTATACCCCCGGCAGGTAGACGCTGATTTACAGCATGCCGTGGCATTGCGTAATCGTTATTTATGGTTAAACAAACCTGTTTTCATGAGCACTTGATAGCTTAACACCCATTGTGTGCTGTTCACATTCAACGCCCACGAGTCTGAGTATTTTGCTCCCAACACACACTCAAACATCCAAAAACGCCATGCATTAACATACACGTGCAAATCGTGAATCACGACCTTAAAATCGAGGAGATGTCTTCATGAATATGTATTAAATTATGCATTTTATAATTTCAAGAATAAATGTGGTTTATATTAATTCTATATGAAGGACAGTTACTTTTTCACGTCAGTATATGAGGTACAATACCTTTATGTTCTCCGGAACCCGTAGAGAAGATTTCGCCTTCTATGTCCAACTTCCCAGCCCCAGTCGTCAAAGCAGGTGTTTCTTTGGTCGGCATCACATCTGTAGGAGTGAAACATGTAAAACAAACATTTTAGCTTTTTACTATGCCCATGATCAGAATAAACTGTCAAAACAGAGGATTGTGCGATCAGCGTCACACAAGAATTGACAAACATAAAGCAAAAATTTCATCAATCAAGTTACTATACAGTCGCCTTAAAGCAGCTTGTATGATCAACGTCACATTAAAAGCTTGATGCAAGGAACAGGTTTATCATGTTTATGTCTTGGGGAGTGGGGTGGGGGTCGGGTTCAGCGGGTAGCATCTACCTGATGTAATCGTGGAAGCCACCGCTTCTTGCCCAACATCCTCTGCTGTGAGTCCACTGGAGGATTCAGTAGTGAGGGCAGGCTCCCAGGTGTGGATGGAGACTACACGGGTGCTCCTGTCCTTGGCCAGACCACATGGCGCATCAGAGGGAAAACAAGCTGCCAGTCCCATCACTTTGTTCTCGATCCCACTCAAGGCTTGTTTCAAGCGAGCATTATCTTCAAGGACTTCTTTGATGATACTTTTGAATCCACTGACACTGGTCTGGAGAGACTTGATCTGCTGAGTCAGCTGTTTTGATTCTCGATTGGACTTTCGCACTAGCGCTATAGCACCGACCAACTGACGGTATGTCCATGCCATGTGGACCTTGATTATTTGATGCTGGTGGAACATTCGGTCTATCCGTTGGTAGTTGTAGTTGTCGACGGCAATGTCAAGCACACCGGATTTCAAAATGTCCAGCAATTTCTTTTCGATGAGTTTAGGTAGGGTTTGACGTACAACCCTATTCAAGAGTTTCCTTTCCATCATGTTCTGAAAAATGACCATTTCGTTTTTCCAGTGCTCCCGATGTGCATAGATTGTGTCTTCAAGATGGGACAATTTCTTGTACACTGGCCTAAGCCTATGCCCGTTGGTAACCAGCAGGGTCGTCATGATCACATATGCTAACACACATTTTACGTCCATTGCTATCGGATGTACGTTCACAATTGATAGAATACTCTCACTGAATATTGTTGGTCAAGGAAGTCCATATGTCACTAACTATAGTTAACTTTCATTGTCATTAAGATCTGTAAAATCCCAACGATGAGGGGATTCTGTAGTCAAGTATGTTCTTCCTGTTTTCAATACCAGTATACTTGATGCACTGTGCAGACGAGTATTACACAATGGGAAATTGTTATGCAGTGTTATACAAGTGTGCTGGGGAGCAGTCCACATCTCACCAAGTGATCTCATGCTATAGTACTGTAAGGGTCAACAGATGTAACATTTCATCTTGGTCGACAACGCCGCCAACTTCTTTTCAAACTTTCCTTTTTGGTGGTAACTGTAAAGGTCCTAGAATATAAAATGTTACTACACATAAGTGACTGAGGTCAATGAAATTAAATGTAATTAACGCCGCATCGGCGATATGTCAGCAACTACAAATATACACCCAGAAAAATATCTATCAGCCAATTCCTAATTGTGTATTCCCGGATACTTTAGTGTATATAATAAAATAGATTTGGCCTTATAGTTTTCTTCACTCCGTTAGGACAAATGATCAACTTTTGTTTATTGTCACCATTTTCAAAATTTTATATGAGCGGATAGGTCCAGTTTTTATTAAATATTTAAGTAGATTTCCCAAACACTTCAATCTTATTTCCCAATGATACCGAAACGCTCCCTTCAATGCTTTAAAACCTGCTGGTGCCAGGATGAGTTCAAAGAAAAGAAAATGTTTTGAGTGGCCTTACTGCTGTTCTTCATTTTGGAGAATCAGTATCATTCAGCGCATGCGGTGTCTCCTAAGGCAAGTGACGCTCGTAATTTGTCTCTATTTACCCAGCAGTGAATGGGTACCCGTTAGGGTGAGATGTTAACCTTCTAGCGCCTCACGGGCAGCTGCGGTTGTATACTCCTCGGGGAGCTGAGAATGAACACCGAGTTCACACTGATCCATTGACCAGGCTAATTATAATGTAATGCCGTGAGAATTCACTTGGTGAATGGAATTTAGCGAAAATAAATGCACTGATTAATATTTATTACGATTCCACTGGAACTAACCGAAAAAAGGGGCCACTCAATTCAGGGGAGGTGATGTGAAATGGGGTTTAAAGTTGAGTACATGATTATTGCACTTGAACAATACGTGCGTGCGTACGTGCGTGCGTGCGTGCGTGCGTACGTGCGTGCGTGCGTGCGTGCGTGCGTGGCTGTTTGTACTAGTCCGGACTTATGCCGATTTTATGGTGCCAGCCCACTGAGATACCACGCCGCAGTTTAACATGAAAACCCCACTCCGACACAGTATACGGACCAGTCCTTGTTTTAGCCCCTTAATACCGAGCGCCAAGTAGGTTAACAAGAAGTATCATCTTTTAACGTCTTTTGGTAACCGGTGATCAAACCCCCGACTGTCCGCTCCTTCGGGCTGACGCTCTACCACTAGAACACGGAGATAGACAGATATTCTTTATTTCCTCCAGATATTGAAGATACATGGCATATATGATATTATGTATAATTACAGAGCTGTACAGTAGTACAATTTAACAATATTATGAGAAATGATGACTACAAAATGCATGACAATCAAGCATTCTTATAACTGTTTTGTAACAGATACAGCCATGTCCTACAGTATCTTGACACGATAACTATAAGGTCACCCCATAGACTTAGAGATATGGAGCTAACACACTCAGGCATACCGCCAAGTAGTACAGACAGGATTATATCATCGTCCTCACTACATAGTCTTGCAAATGTAGAGACATCTATCAGAGACTAGAACCATTGGTCATAGGAATTACACATTTAGAAAAAAAACTGTTAATTGTTTGAAATCCGGGGTTGACAAATAGTTTGAGAGACGCGACAGTGATACAGAGTTACATTTGACTCGTTTCTCACGAGTGTCTGTGGTGATATGCTAGATATTGTAAGCACATCGTGTCGGAAAAGGAAGTACTCATTCGCCAACACTTGACGTATCACGGGATTGTCCATTTAAACTTATATAAATCCATACTGGAAAACCCACCAACGGCGGTATGAACATAATTATCTACATTCAACCAATAGTACAAGGAAGAAGACTGGACTAAAAAGTATGTTTTAGCGGCAACATGTTTACACAGCACACTAACAAATTTGGGAAGTTTTCGCTTTCTGGGCTGAGAACATTTTTTTTTTAAATATGTACATATATACTGAACAGCAAAAGAAACGTCACCCCAAGTAACATAGCATGAAAAGTTGTCATTTAAATATCTGGGTAACTTTTGTCAAAGTTTCTAAAATTTAATATTACCTTGTCTGGAAAATTTGATGATAAAAAAACAAAGTTGATGACAATAAAACCGATCGCCTAAACGCATCACGGCAACGGCCATGGTAACCCGATGCACGTGAGTTCCGTGCAAATTGAAATGCACATGCGTTCCCCCATTTCTTACCCTATAAAAATCCACCCATATCGGATAACATTTATTCGATATTGAATTGCTACCACATGCCAAGATTGACACGAAATCAGCGACACCAAGCCCTTGGACGATTACAAGCTGGACAAACCGCCCGGAAAGTAGCCAATGCATTTCAAGTCCACCTAAGAACCATATACAGGCTCCAGCAACGGTACCAGACCACCAACACCACAGACGACCGACGACGTAGTGGAAGACCAAGGGTTACCACCCGACGTCAGAATCGTCAGATTGTGCGACAGCATCTTCAAGATTGCTTTGTTACTGTTGTGGAAACTGCTCGACAGACCATGGGGACACACCAGCGACAAATTAGTGCGGACACCGTGCGTCGACGATTGCCGAGCAGACACCTCCACTGTCACAGGCCACACCGAGGACTCATTCTGACACCGAGACCGTCTTCAGCGGGCAACACAGCACCAGCATTGGCGCCACCAGCATCGAAGAAGAGTCCTCTTCTCAGGCGAGAGCCGTTACTGTATCTCAACAGAAAATGGCAGAAAGAGAGTCTTGCGACGCCGTGGGGAATGTTATTCGGATGCTTGTTTTGTTGAGACTCGTGGGGTGGTCCGAGCATCATGGTGTGGGGTGGTATTGGTCTTGCACTGAGGGTCGGTCCTGTGGTATTCCAGAACATCGGTCCAGGGAGAGGCAATGGTGTAATGACAACTGCAGGTGAACTGCGACAGGCGTTCCTGTGTGGGCTCAAGTGCCTATGGCCTTCATCAACCGCCTCATCCACTCCATGCACATGGCGGACACAAGAGATACTGACGTGTGATGCCATTTTCTCAGACACTAGTGTTGTGTTTCACTTTAAGAACATTTGACACTTTAATTTCAACCTTGATGATCAGTTTTGCTAAGTTTCATCTTTTTAATATGTCTCAAAGTATGTTTACAGCGAGAACTTGGTGAGAGTGAGCTTTTAGTAATATTCCAGCAATATCACGGCAGGGGACACCAGAAATGGGCTTCACACATTGTACCCATGTCGGGAATCGAACCCGGGGCTTCGGCGTGATGAGCGAACGCTTTAACCACTAGGCTACCTGACCGCCTTCGAACACTTGGTGTCATCACTATTTGATAGTGATTCATAAACACGTACGTCGGAATCGCATAATCGACTCTGCTTTTAGCAATAAAATCGTAAGATAACGTCAAGTGTTTTGTTGCTTATATGTATGAGTGTGAGTTGATTTAGAACACTGTCAGTAAAACACAACAATAATTGTTGCGAAATCATTATGAACACATTACCAGAAACCTGTGATTGTGGGTTTCGAATCCCGGTTCGCCCCGATTACGTTTCTATGTTTGTCAGCAGTTTGTGCTCGTGGGTTTCACTGAAGTGGTAAACGACTGAGATTTGCATCACTCCGCGATTTTATCTCACAGTAAGCTGACACGCCGTGATATAACTGGAATACTGTGTTAAACCCACCTCATTCACTCACTCACTCACTCACTCAATCACTGTTAAGGATAACTTGCAAGTAACTGGACATTCGTTTCAAATAATGTACGAGCCAGCAAATCTGGCGAGTATCATTATTTGTACCAAGTGTCCAGTGACGCGTACGTCATCTGACTTAAAATACAACATCACCTAAATAGATTCTGCGTAATCACATTTAAAATACAACCTACAAGTTAAAATATATCAATAAATATATGACACTATACACATCACAAACATGATGCACGGATATTCATAATATCTTTATCTTTTTGCTTCGATATCCATGCTGCATTTGAACTTGCTCGAATATATTCGTACTGCACGTGTATTTTGTGCGATTTGATTGTTGTAGCAAGCTCATTCGTACATCACGTGCTTAGAATTGATGCGTGAGATTAAAAATTTGCTGTAGAAAGTAGATCAGGAATCTTTCAATTCGTTACAGGAAGTCTTCAGTTGAAACAATAGAGTGACGTCACAGCTGTATTTAATAACTGTTAAGGTTTATCGAAACTATGGATGATCCAGTTTGGTATTAATTTCAACTTTTTATATTTTGATTTGACATGGATGTATTGCTTGTGTACATGAACAATAACAATGTATGGGTACTTCGAGCAATCGTTACCATCTAGCATCAACAGCGCTTAGATCGTATCAGAGGGGTTACGTTTAACATGTGAACCTAATGTGTGAATCGTAAGCCTTTATAGCTTGATGAAACCCACCTGTACGATCTTGGTACGTCAGTGTGACAAAATACGTACTTCGCGTGACCCGTGAAGATTCAGGTTAGAAGACATGCGTGTCATAAGAGGCGATTAAGGGGATCCGGTGTTCCAGTTCGGCTCGATCTTTTACAGACCGACATCACATAGCTGGAATATTGCTGAGTGCGGCGTTACCCAACAAACAAACAAAACATACTTCACGTGGATGGTGATGGTGTAACAAGTCGCCATTAACATGTTCATCTTGTGTAGTACCATAACGTGACAAAGATCCAACGTTTCGTTTAAGGTGAGACAAGACGGTTATAGAAAATTGTTTCACGGATCAGCGCGATTCTCGAAAGACATGTTGATGTGGCTACTGATTGACGCGTTGAAGGTACACGTCGA